TGGTGCTGGTACTGAAAGATCCGGTTGGTTTTCTTGGTGCTTGGCTTGTCACGTGTCCATGGTGTATTCTTGACATTTTCCAAGACCTTTGACGCCATCGGCTGGCCCCTCCTCTGGCAACATGGTGGGGCAGTTGCCGAGCGGACCTCAGCGGGCCGCATGCCGCCGAGCCAACCGAGGAGTTGCAATAGGATAGTGCAAGAAGATCCCATGGTGCGCTTAGTGTAGTATGTTTAGAGTATAAGTTACGCTGAAATTTGGAAAGTGCATAACCCCACAAGGCAACGCCCAAGATGGCTGGGTGGCATTGCGGCATCATGTTTTGCCGGACACTCTGTTGGACCATTGATGTGGACAATGAATAGATACTGTAATGCAACAAGTACAATTACTGTAAAATAATACAAGTTTTATGGGAAGCGTTTCTCCCTCCCTGAAAGTTTGCTGCGGGTCCCATTTGCGCAGCTAGAGCCCTTAAGAACCAGCCTTACACCTAAACGTGTTTGGCTCAACAACCATGAAATATACACAATAATGCCAAGGCCTGGTACGCTAAGCAAGGCCGATGTCTCAGCATGTTTCTCGTTGTTGATCCAATCTGGAAAGGGAATCTTAGGAAGGTGCTTGACTGAGTGCAGACACATGGGGTCAGAATCTGAACCTAAAGATCATTGACATCTATTCAAGACCAGTCAAAATGGCACGCGAACTGAATCAGTGCATTGGCAGAACATGCATCAATGTCATCGAGGCAGAGGAGCACCTCCGCAGCAGCTTGCGCGGGGATTTGGGGCACCTCTCAGCCAACTTCGGCTTGCGAGTGGAAGCGGAGGCCCATTTGACCTTTCTTTTTTCTCCTGCAAACAATTTACTGTTACATTTCTTTCGGGAAGTTGTGGGGTTCTAGGAACAAGGACGCTACTAGGGGCTTATCGCCCTACTACTAGGAGCAAGAACGCTACTAGCGGCTCCTGGCATCGCTACTAGGAGCAAAGACGCTACTAGTAGCTTCTTGCTCCTAGTAGTAGGGCCAGGAGCCCCTAGTAGCGCTCTTGCTCCTAGAAGCGATGCCCTTTGCTCCTAGTAGCTTCTTTCCAAAATAAGAAGTGGGTCGCATCAGTGAAGCTAGGTGGGTCACGTTTCCGTCTTGCCTCGTCAGGGCCCTGTCAACTGAATGGGTGGCGTTTCCCGATCTGAAACGCAACACTGTAAGACTTTTTAAGGTCTATGTTACCTGGGTGTAATTATCCAGGAGACCACGACAAGTGCAATGGTGTTGAGCAGAGTTGTTTCATGTTTGTTTCTGCTTTTGGCCGAAGAATGACGGAAGAAAGCCGCATGGACAATCCTTCAGAATCCTTCGGATTCCTTCGGATCCAGGTGGCGTCAGACAGCTTCCGCGTGCAGGGCTGCGAGGGACCGGACCACGCAGCTGCGGTGCGAAAAGAGCTGCAGGCCGGGCTGTCCGGGCTTGGCCCAATTGGTCCAGACTCGAAAGCAGGGTGCCGTGCTGAGGAAGAGTCTGTTTTTCCCGAATGCGTAGCGAAGGGTTCTCGTTTAACTCTGGGGGTCTGGGGGTAGAGCCTTGTTCGCGACTCGTTGAGCGACCGCAACCGTTGGCAACCGTTAGCAACCGTTTGCAGCCATTCGCAGTAGGGCGCTAAGGTGCTGCCATTGGGGAAGCTTTTGGAGGGTTTTGCATGGAAGCGTGACGTGTCAGATTCGTGTGAAATAGCGAGGAGTCGTGTGGGAGCGTGAGATGTTGAAGTGTGGAGGATGATTTCACTGCGCAGGCGCAGCGTTTTGTGAGATCCGCAGTTTTCTGCGTAGTCGCATTGGGATTGGCGTTTGGGGGATGGTGTGTTTGGGGTGGCTGTGACATTGGGATTTGCGTTTCAGGATGTTGCATCGAAGCTGTCAGCTGAAGTGGTGATTTTGGTGGACGGGAGTGTGCTCAGAGCGTGTCGAAATCATTCCAAACGTGTGGTGTGGTGCAAATTTGTTGCAGCTCACATGACATGATATTTCAGAGGCAAACGGAAGGGTAGTGCACAGAAAGGGTTTTGCAAACTGTTCTACTAACATCGTGGAAGGCGCGTGACATTCGTAGAACCCAAGGCTATTCGTGGACAGTTCGTGGAATGGTGGGCCAGTAGGAGAACTGACTGCAACGAAATCCCAGAAACCTTCGCGGAACTTCGTGGAAGGTATTTTTGATGCACTAACCTCGTATAACCGATTTTTGCTGACCCCCTTTCTCCACACACCCTCCATTTAGCCTTCAATATTGTCACTTTTCGTGGCAGGTGCTGGGAGTCGTGAGGTTGCGAGTTGTGTTGGAGGCGAGTGTCGCTGTGACATTGCATTGCTGGCGCAATCAGTGTCCACAATTTTTCGGTACACCGTTTACACTGTCTACACCGGCTACACCGTTTACACCGTCTACACCGTTTACACCGTTTACACCGTCTACACCGTCTGCACCGTTTACACCGGCGTCTACACCGTCTACACCGGCTACACCGTTTACACCGTCTACACCGGCTACACCGTCTACACTGTCTACAGTCTACGCCGTTTACACCGTCTACACCTTTTACACCATCTACACCGTCTACACCGGTTACACCGTCTACACCGTCTACACTGTTTACACCGTTTACACCGTCTACACTGTTTCCACCGTTTACACCGTCTACACCGTTTACACAGTTTACACCGTCTACACCTTTGACACCGTCTACACCGTTGAAACCGTTACCGGCGTATCCGGTGTAAACAGCGTGGTCAGTGGTCAGCGTAACCAGCCTAACCAGCGAGCAGCGTATCCAGCGTAAACAGCGTAACCAGCGTAACCAGCGTATCCAGCGTAATCAGCGTAAGCAGCGTAACCAGCGTAACCAGCGTATCCAGCGTAATCAGCGTAAACAGCGTAACCCGCATAAACAGCGCAACCAGCGTAATCAGCCTCACCAGCGTAACCAGCGTAATCAGCGTAACCAGCGTCAACAGCGTAACCACCGCCGCCAGCCACCGCCAGTGTACCAGCGTACAATCACTCGCGGACACGCTTTGCCACGTCGCTCTGACATTGGGATTGGCGTGTGAGCGGGCCTTGCTTGGAGGGGCTGGAGTCGCAAAACTGCTCGGCAGGGCTGCTTGATGTGTGTGCTCCGATGAGGGTTCCCGCTTGACTTTTGAAAGAAGTCTCGTGGGAAATGATCGTTTTGGAGACTTTGACATGAGGAAGTCTCGTACGAAACGCTCGTTCCGGAGACCGGACGCGCGACTTTTGGAGGAAGTCTTATACGAAACCCTCGTTTTGCAGACTCGACGCGTGAGTTGGTTGGAGGATTGGCGTGTGAATTTTGGAGGAAGTCTCATACGATACGCTCGTTTCGCAGACTTGAAGTGTCCCACAAGAGTATCCGACAAGAGTGTCCCACAAGAGAGAGTGTCATATAAGAATGTCCCACAACAGAGTCCTACAAGAGTGTCAAGAGTGCCCCGCACGAGTGAGTGTCATACAAGAGTGTCCCACAAGAATGACAGACAAGAGTGTCCCACAAGAGTGTCCCGCAAGAGTGTCCCACAAGAATGTCCGACAAGAGTGGCCCACAAGTGTGTCTTTCAAGAGCGTCCCACAAGAGTGTGTCCTACAAGAGTGTTCCGTGTCCCACAACACAGACCTAGAAGAGTTGCAAGAGTGCCCACAAGAGTGTCCGACGAGAGTGTCCTACAAGAGTGCCCCACAAGAGTGTCCCACAAGAGAGTCCGACAAGAGTGTCCCACAAGAGTGTCCCACAAGAGTGACATACAAGAGTGTTGCGCATGAGTGTCCCACAAGTGTGTCCTACCAGAGTGTTTCGCAAGAGTGTCCACCAAGAGTGTCCCGCAAGAGTGACATACAAGAGTATATATCCCACAAGAGTGTCCCGCAAGAGTGTCCCACAAGAATGTCCGACAAGAGTGTCCTATACAAGAGTGTCCCACAAGAGTGTCATATAAGAGTGTCCCACAAGAGAGTCATACAAGAGTCTTCCGCAAGAGTGCCCCACAAGAGTGTCCGACAAGAGTGTCCTACGAGAGTGTCCCACAAGAGTGACATACACAGGTGTCCCACAACACTTTTTCGCAAGAGAGTCCTACAAGAGTGTCCCACAAGAGTGTCCCACAAGAGTGTCCCGCAAGAGTGTCCTACAAGAATGTCCTACAAGCGTGTCCTACAAGAGTGCCCCACAAGAGTGTCCTAGATGAGTGCTCCACAAGAGTGTCCAAGAGTGCACAAGAGTGTCCCACAAAGGTTTCCGAAAGGAATGTGTCCTACAAGAGTGTCCCACAAAAGTGTCTCCTACAAGATTGTCAAAAATTGTTTGAGTGTTTGTTTTCGAGTACGTGTTTGCATTCGGGTTCGTGGGTTCCATCTTGTTTATTTTTGGTATGATTTTGTGTGTTCAACATGAAAGACTGTTGCCCTCACTTTGCACTGTGACAGGCTGTTTGCAACTACTACAGCTTTCCACCTCCTCAATGGCGAAGTTGAGGCCGTAGGCAGACCGTAGAACCATTGATTCAAGAGATCAAGCATCACTGGATCAGTTCCGATCAGTTATATATACGGCTAACATTGGCTAACATCCTCTAACGGGATCAGCAACTGTTAGCAACTGGCTGAAAGGATTCATATTATCCTCCTTTGACATTCAATCACCAAGAGCTGCCTGACGGAGTCTGCGAATTATATGCGACACTGTCAAGGGTAGACTTTTCGGAACTTGTACAGACATGCCAGAGGAAGGATCAAAGGGAGAGATGCTTCACAGTCTTCAGAAACATCGGGCAGTTTGCAGTTCCAGGTGGCTGACTGTCCGTGAGAGAATCTATTGTTTGAAACGACCGGAATCAGCTTTGTAGTTTGTACATGTCGCTAATGCATTCTAATGCATTGTCACATAATAAGTGGAAATTGCTCATAAGCGACAAGTGACCAGAACCATAAGGTCTCTCCACGCGGATTTCCTGGAGCAAGAACTACGTCGGAACAAGAAGACAGTGGTGATTCTGGATGACAGTCCAAATCTCAACCGAATACTTTAGTTGAGCATTTGCATCATGCAGCGCACAACATCGACTATTCTGCAGCACCATCGACAGTTTTTCAATCTCCGCGGTTCGAGGTTGTGCAGGCTTAGAGCAGAAGCTGGCAAATCAGAGAGACAATGCAGTCGAAGTGCTTGCTGGCCGCTCCAAGGCGGGACATATGGTCCGACAGACTGAGATAGGAACAAAGTGCAACAGACGTTTGCACTCACGTAATCGTCACTAATGCATCTAGATACTACTAGTACTAGTACGTAGTACTGAAGAAGACCCTGAAATAGGTAGAGAGGACGCGAATGAGTAAAGATGAAAAAGGACGTGAATGAGCCCAAAAGTGAAGCACTTTAAGGCACACATACTTTTCTGAGTATCCTCCATGTGCTCAAAGGACAACTTGGAACGGTTGGTTGTCTCTAAAAGGTTTGTTGTGCCACTGGCGAAGCTATAGGAATAGTGCCAGCTGTGGAACGCTTGGCGAGTTGAGGATGAAGGTGAATGAAGTCAGCCAGTTTGCCATGTAGAACCTGCTAGTGATGGCCTCCAACCTACTAGCTATGGCCTCCAACCTACCAGTGATGAAGTCAGCCAGTTTGCCATGTAGAAGCTCAACAGCTGTTTAGCCCTGCACATCTTCCCCAGGCAAGACTTCGTTGTGTGGGGCTTCGCTGCCTTTCCGTCCGTGGCCAAAGTGGTACATGTAGAGAGATCCAAGTCTCTGCCATTCAGTGAAGCAGGAGACACGTTTCATTACTCCATTACAACAAACATGTACTGTAATTGCCACCCAGCACAGAATCAGAATGGGGGTTTGTACTTTCCAGTCATTCTGAGAACTCAGCTCTTACATCGGCTCAGGCTTGGCGTCAATGGCTCATCATGGAACAGGCGCAGAAGTGGAGGGAGGCTGAGGCGACGAAGATTCTGGAAGCGTGAGAAACTAAGTCTCACTTAATTCACCAAAAGCCTCGCAAGAAAACACATTACTGTATTGTTCGGTAAGTGGCAGTTGCGTGTCAGACCCAAAGAAACAAGAGGAATGTTCAAGTTACTTCGAGATTTCCAGCACGATCATGAGCTTGATGCTGCAGAATCCACCGAAGATGTGCCACTCACAACTTCAAGGTCAGATGCATACGCCTTGCGCCTGCAAGGCGCGGTTTCGTTTCATCCTGCATTGTCTTGCTCCTAGTAGCGATGCCAGGAGCCCCTAGTAGCGTCCCTGCTCCTAGTGGCGATGCCCTTTGTTCCTAGTAGCTTCTTGTTCCTAGTATATAGCGATGCCAGGAGCCCCTAGTAGCTTCCTTGCTCCTAGTGGCGATGCCCTTTGTTCCTAGTAGCTTCTTGTTACTTGTTCCTAGTAGCGATGCCAGGAGCCCCTAGTAGCGTCCTTGCTCCTAGTGGCGATGCCCTTTGTTCCTATATAGTAGCTTCTTGTTCCTAGTAGCGATGCCTGGAGTAGCCCTGCCCTTTGTTCCTATATAGTAGCTTCTTGTTCCTAGTAGGGATGCCAGGAGCCCCTAGTAGCGTCCTTGCTCCTAGTAGCGATGCCCTTTGTTCCTAGTGGCTTCTTGTTCCTAGTATGCGCAAGTAGCGATGCCAGGAGCCCCTAGTAGCGTCCTTGCTCCTAGAAGCGATGCCCTTTGTTCCTAGTACTCGTAGCTTCTTGTTCCTAGTAGCGATGCCAGGAGCCCCCCAGTAGCGTCCTTGCTCTCCTTGCTCCGAGTAGCGATGCCCTTTGTTCCTGGTAGCTTCTTGTTCCTAGTAGCAATGCCAGGAGCTCCTAGTAAGTAGCGTCCTTGTTCGTAGTAGCGATGCCTGGATCCCCTAGTAGCGTCCTAGTTCCTAGTAGCGACGCCAGGCGCCCCTAGTAGCTTCTTGCTCCTAGTTGTCTTTTAATTCCTCATATCGCTCCCTTCGTTGCTTGCTTGCTTTTCTTTTCTGCGTGTGGCTTGCGCTTTTGGCTTTTGCGCTTTTTGCTTGATGTTTTTTTCTTAGTTTGCTTTTTTGCGTTAGTTTATGCACGATGCATTTGTGGTTTGCCATTAACATGGTTTGACTTCTTGAATGGCTTTGCTTTGTTTTCTTGCTTTCTTTATTTTTCGTTAGCTTTTTGTGTTTCTTGCTTGCTTCTGTCTTTTTTGCTTGTTGCGTCGCTTAGATCTGAAGATTTGTGCAACTTTAGTGTATTTGTATGTAAATAGTGTTGCAACTTTGTCATCAATGAAGCAAAGGTTTCGGGACGCACGTTCCCACCTTGGCTTTCATTGCACGGAGGGCTTTGCCCCATCACCAGCACATACTCAAGCCTTTGGAACTTACTCGTAATGTGCAAATTGGCGAATGTCAGTGGATACCTGCTAAACACCAAGTTTGTAGAACACCCACAAATAGAACAAAAGCCGCTCCAATTCTTCTTTAACGTTGTTGTGGTGTTTGGGAGGGGTTTTGCAGGCCGAACATCAAACGCTCTTCACAACGTTCCAGCCTAAGACTACCTTCGCTTTGCATGGATCGCCACCCCTCCAGAAATCTGAGCTCTGCAGTGCTTCTTGAACATGCTTGGGCAAATTGCCACATCCATTGTCCACTGAGGTTGGGACTGCTCTTTTTCACCAGCAATGGCAGACTTTAATGGTGAGACACTTGCTGTTGCAGAAGTGCGTACATGAAATATTCCCAAATAATCCCAAATATATATATAACGTACCAGCAGGTTTGCAAAGGATCCTTTTGATACTGAGTCATGTCAAGTCCCTGATAAATATGCATATTTATATTGACTATATGCTGGGGTTCTCTCAGGTGAGTGTTCTTAAAGTTTAGGGGTGCTACTCCGTTTCCCATTTGCAAGTGCCCGGGTTCTCGTCAGGTGCAGGGTGCTGTGCAGATGTACAAGCTTGCCTCCAGCAAAAAAATCCACTTTTACTGATTCTTGTTCCTTTGAATTACTTTATTGTGAAAAGCTGCAAAATCTCAAAGATCTAGTGGACACAGATTTCTTCACATGTATGTATGTATGTAATGTAAAATGTAAAATGTAAAATGTAAAATGTAAAATGTAAAATGTTATGTATGTATGTATGTATGTATGTATGTTTTGCTGTACTGTGCCATGTGTTTGTGTCGACATTTGCCATATTGTATATTGTTAAGTTCTGTTGTTATGCTTTCCTCGCTTTTTGCATATGTCGACACATGTGGACAAAGGTTCTAGAAAAGAGTTTTCTAGGTGAATCAGCACGGGGTTCGCACTAGGTCTCTTTTGATTCTGAGTGATGGCAAACAGGGTACTGTGGTTTCGGGAGATTTGCAAGACTTCATGGAAAGTCAATTATACATGCTTGGCCAATGATGGCTGGTGACTGAACGCCAATCGACCCCGCAATATCATACAAGTTATTCTGGAACGAAAGCACCTTCAATGAAGTTCCTTGTTGGAGTTAGCGTGGAATTGTTTTGCCTTGTTGAGTGGTCAGGTACATGTATTCTTGTCGTGGCGTTTGCATTGCAAAGAGCAGCACTTAGAGTTAACACTTAGAGCTTCTTTGGCCTGAACGTGTTCAAGTGGGAAAGTGTTTGCAATGTTTTGCAAACGCTGAATCTGGAGCAGCCATTTTACGATGCATTGACTTGTGACATATGTGCAAGGTTGAGTGGCCGATTCATACAATAAAAGCAGCTGAAACGGCTCAAGTTCGTCAAAATCCCAGCACATGCACAGCAAGCACAGCAAGCACAGCATGGGCGCGAAGCCTGCCAAGGAGTCTCCAGCCAAAGAAGCCGCTGTGAATGACGCCACGAAGACGACTGAAGAGGATGAAGCTGAAGAAGAATCCTTTAATGTCACCTTGAGCACCATCAGTGGTGACCAGTTTATTGTGTCCGTGAAGCCAAGTGACAGATTCTCAGACCTTCAGAAGCTTGCGGCCGCAAAGCTCAGTTGGGATGCTGATTGGACTCTGAGATTTGCCGATGGCACTGCCTGTCAATTTGCACATTACTGGTTGGGAGTAGCATTTAAGGAAGCAGGTTTGCGTTTTAAGTTGGGGCCTATTGCGGATAACACCAAATGCAGCTGGCGCAGGTCGCTTCCTTTTCTTGCTGGTTTCATTCTGTTCAACTGGTACCTAAGTTCATTGCAGTGCGGGGAGCACACCAGCCCTCACGGCATGATCCTGCACTGCTATTACCACTTGTGGGACAGTAGGGCAAAGCAACTAAAGCTTTTCCAAACACAAGTAGACCAAAGATGGCAGCAGCTGCATCCCTGATTCGCCTAATATTAAGATTGGCAACAGACAGCCGTTTTGTTCAAAAGGAAAAATCAAGTTCCACTATTACACCAATCACATAGAGTTTACCAGTGGAGGAATGCACGGTCAACTGCCAACAGTCTGACAAACTATAGGCCTAGGCGGCCTACCTACTCTACTCAAGGAGTATGCTGTTCAGCACACATCGCATCGCAGCCAGAAAAAGCCAATACTGTCAGGGATGACTGCTTTTTGCAATCAACTCAGTAAAGCTTAGCTGCTTTTGAACCTGCTGACGGAAATGGCTATCCTTTCCTTCAGAAGGTTTGCCTCTCTTGCCAGCCGAAGCCATGCACAAACCCCCGCCAGCCAACTTCTGGGCTGCTTTCATTCTTGTTTCTTTCTCCTTGCGAGCCTTCTCTTCCTGTTTGCGAGTTTTCTCAGCTTCTCTCTGTGCTTTCTCAGCTTCTCTCTTTGCTTTCGCTGCAGCCTTGGCTGCTGCTTTGCTCTGGGCCAGTGCCTGCCTGGCTGATGCCAAAGTCTTGGCCTTTGCCTTTGGGCTAGGCTTCGCTTTCGCCTTGGCTGCTTTCTTGGCTGCTGCCGCTGCCTTCTGCTTGGCTGCTGCGCTTTTGCCTTTTGGAGTGGCTTTGGCTTTGGGTGTGGCTGCCACTGCCGCCTGTGCTGTTGCTTGCATTGCTGCTGCGGCTGCCGGTCTTTTCATCACGCCCGGGCCGCCCTGGCCCTTTTCATCAGGATCCACTTCCATATCATCGTCCTCATCAGCCTCCTCTTCTCCCTCCTCCGCCATGTCAGTGTCACTGTCGCTAGACATGCTTGTGTCATTGTGCCCACCCTCCTTTGGCAAAGGAGATGCTGCTGCTGCTGAACTGGACTTGGACTCCTGCTGTTGGGGCATGTTTGCTGGTGGTGTTGCTGCTAGTGCTTGCTTTGGTTGCTCTGCTGCTGCTGCTGGTTTGCTTTGCTGGCTCGAGCTTTGTGGCGCCACTGTATGTTCTGGTGTCTTGCTGTTGCTGTTTGCCAAGGGTTGCTCTGCTCCTGGTGGTGTGCCACTTTGCAATGGCTCAGGCCCAGGCTCAGGCGGATCATCTACTGCTTGTGATCCTGGCGATGAGGTTGGGATTTCTGCGGCCGCCATCGGTGTGTCTACTGCTGTAGGTCCTTCTGCCGCAAGTTGAGCTGGCGGCGGCGGCGGCCCTTCTGCTTCTTGTGGATGGTTTGCTGCTGCCGAAGGTGTTGTTGCTTGTTGCTTTGCTGCTTCCGACTGAGCATCTGTGAACGCCATTGCCTCCTCAGGCTTCAGATCCGCTGGTGGTACAGGCGCCAGTGAAGCTGCTTCCTGTGGCTGGGTCTGGGGGTGCTGGGTTGCTTCTGGCAAAGGCAAGGGCAAGGGCCCGGGCGCTGTGTTTTGCTGTGCTGGCGCCGCCGCCGCTTCTTCCAAAGGAGGGTTGCGCTGCTTCTCGGACTCTGACTCTGCGTTCTCTGCTGCTTTGTTTGCCGGTAGTGCCTCCGATGCCACTGGTGGGGTCTCCACTGGTGGGGCCTCCAATGCTTCTGGTGGGCCTGGTGGTGTGGGTGCAAGCGGTGCTTCAACAATGCCAAGCTGCTTTGCTTCTGCTGGTGCTGGTGGAGACAGTGTTTCTTGTGTCAGCGCTGTTGATGCTTTCAAGGTTTCTGCTGGCTCTGGCTCTGGCGCTGGAGCTGCTAATGCCAGTGCTGGCTGCTCTGGTCGTGTCAGTGTTGGTTCTGCTGGTTGTTCAGGCGCACCCCCCTTCTCATTGCCACATGCAACCACTGCAGCCTCAGGCAGCACCACTGTGAGTGTATGGCCCCTGTCATAAGTCATAAGTACAGTTTAATAAACATGTGACTGGTGACAGGTGACTCATGACTAAATTACCTTTGGGATTCGGGATTCGGGATACTGTCATATCTCCGTCTCTGTCACCGTCTCCGTCTATTTGTTGTCTAGTACAGTTCAGTACTGTGCTACATTTGATTGCCCAGTCAGTCATATGGTCGTATATCATCAGTCTCTTCATTGCTTCTAGTAAGTGACTACCTTAGTCCGGTCCCGTCCCATGGGTTTCTCGGCGTGAACAGTGTATAGTGACCAGAGTGTCTCAGTCATGTCATGTCACGTCTAAACAAAGCAAGTCTAAGTTACAAGTCTAAGTCGGGTCCAGGAGCAAAAACATGGTCACCAGCAGCTGCAGCACCAGAATCCGCGTCGTCGTCGTGGACTGCAAGGATTCCAACCTTGGCCACTTTGACTGGGTGGCCAGTGGCACAGTCGGAGTCAGGGTCCTGGCAAAAAAACACATTCATTTGAATCCAAAATCAAAACTATTTTACACATTAAAAAAACATATCATCATATAACATACGTTCTCATATATTCATAGACTATTCGTTTAGTTACTATATTATAAGATTAGTTTAGTAGTAGTAGTAGTAGTAGTAGTAGTAGTAGTAGTAGTAGTAGTAATAGTAGTAGCAGTAGTAGTAGACAGTAAGTCACACTCACACAAATCCTACAAGCATCAGAGTTCATCAGAGCATCATTATCAGACTCATCAACCATCAGCAGACTGTCTCCCTCTCTCTCTACCACACTGACCCCCAAATCAAAGTCTGAACATGGTTTATGGTTTGGTGCACAGTCTGAGTCTGAGCAATAATATCTTCTCGAACCCTTGTACCCTTGTCCCACCTCCACCTCCATCTTGACATCCGTAAGAGCCTCTTGCTTCACGGGCACGGCGCCCGGACAAGCCTGAAGCTGCTGCATGCGTGTAGGGGCAGGTGCAGACTGCTTAAGCTGCCGCCCTTGCTCAAGCTCCTCATCATCATTGTCATCGTTGGTGTACTCAATGAGTTCTTCAAGGGTGACTCGGCAAGCCCGGGTGATCAACATCCTTGGCAAGGAGTGTGATTGTGATCACAAGTCAGAAGCAAAGTGAGTCTCAGCAAAAGTTTGCCTTTGACTTTGTGGGCTGTGGAAAACAAACACATACAAAAGGCAGTCAGACTGACTGACACTGCATACTGCAGCTCAGCAAAGCAACTCCTCAAAAAACGACTTCAGCCATTCTCAAGCTGGCGAGAGATTTGACACCAATGCAGTTGGAATAGCACCTCATGAAGTAGTTGTTTGACACCAAGGCTTTCTCCACAATCACCATGCCAGCAGGCACATACAGAACCTTGAAGTAGGGAGTCAAAAAGGGACAAAGAGAGACAGAGAGGGATGGACGGAAGGTGAGGGAAGATGAAGAACATAACACAAAAAAACAATTAAACAATGTAGAGAAACATCCCCAGAGCATAGCCATACTTGAGTGAAGGATGGTAAGCAATACAAAGGATTGCCAGGAAAAGACTCCGGTTCTGAAGACTTCACATCCATCTTCTCGAATGCTTGCACTGCTTGGGTGAAGTCGGTCAGAGTGAATTTATCCTGCTTGCCATCACCAAAGGCATTGCAAACCTTGGAACGGGGACGGGGAGAAACAATAATCGACAATAATGGTGCCCACCACCGCCGCCACCCGCAAACACCCCAAACCAGCCACAAACAATAATTGAAACAAACATTTTGTGACTTGTGCCAGACTTGTGCAGCCCAAAAGCGTCCTCTATGGAAGCCATGGCCATGACCCTTGTACCCTCAGTTTGGAACTGGAAGTTTGCCAAAGCTGTTGGCACGAGTCCAGCAAATTGTTTGCCCTGCTGAAATCCCAAGAAGGAAATGGACCGGTGAGACTTCCAAGAAGAAGCCAACAGTGCTTCATCCTTGTCCATCTCTTTGTGGAGCTCGCCGAGTACCATCTCCAAATTCTCAAAGTCCAACAAGTGGCACTTGGTTTCTTCAAGACCAGCGCTGCCCTCAAGGTGCGCTCCGATAAGGCTGTCAAAGTTGAAAGCTCCGATAGAGTCTTGGCAAGAGTCTGAGAATTTGTAAGTCTTCTTGACAACCGAGGGGTCAGCCTGAGCAAAGAAGAGAAGAGAAAAGAGAACAGCTCAAAACAAAACTCTGCTGCTTGCTGCTGGCCAGGCCTACTCAAAATCATCAAGTAAGTTTGGCTAGAGGGAAAGGCACCAGCAAAGGCCATGCCAAGGCAGCCAAGGCACCTCACACTTGTCTGTGAACTCAGTCATCCAGCCCTCTCTCTCAAGCTTCATTGTGTTGGTCACTGAGTTGATTTCCTTCTTACAAGGCTGGCCGTCGTTGGCTTGGG